TAAATATATTTTTTCTTTTAAATGCACCATTCATTCATTATCTTTACTCGCTTCTTCCTTTTCATGTCACGGGGGTCACTGGTACCCGTATCCAGCCATCACTGTGCAAGAGGCAGGGGACACCCTGGACAGGTCTCCAGTCCACATGGACACATAGAGACGAACAACCATTCACTCTCTCACTCACACCTGGGGACAATTTAGAGTTACCAATCAGCCTAACATGCATGTTTTTGGTCTGTGGGAGGAAACCGGAGTACCCGGAGAAAGCCCACACATGCTTTAAGAGAACATGCAAACTCCACCCAGAAAGGTACCCGGGCCGGGATTCAATCTGGCGATCTTCTCGCTGAGAGGCTGCAGCTCTACCACCTGCGCCACCGTGCTGCCTTAAATGCACTACTGGCAATATTTTTTCAGTGTTGTGCATAGGGGTGTAACGGTACACATGGGTGTATTGAACCGTTTCGGTACAGCATGTTTGGTTCGGTCCACGTGCGTACCGTTTAGGTTATTGTTTTCACTCATTAAATTTTATTAATGAGAGATTATGCGCAGCGGAACTAAAGTTCCTAAGTGTGTTTCAGCATGACGCTATTATCTTGCAGCACGTGCAGCATTAGCAGCCTAGCAGGCAACGAACAAGCCGTCTCGTTGTGGTCTCCTGTTTGGGAACATTATGGCTTTCTTGTTAAAAGACAAGTGGACAAATCCAAAGCTGTGTGTCGACGTTTCATGGAGATTGGATCTCCAGCAGGCAATACATCTAACTTGTTAACGCACTTGAAACCACATCATCCGAACGTGACCGTCTCTTCTACAGAATAGTAGCTTGGTTTGTGCAAAGACCGATAACGGCAGCATGTAAACAACCTTTACCAGGTAGTTCAGATCGGTCCAGAGCAATAACACACAAGATGTAGGAGTTTTTAAAGCTCTGGATCTACATCCAAATTCTGTTGTTGTTGTGCCGGCCTTAAAGTTACTGAGCCCTGCTGCCTACAGCATCTCATCACGTCAACACTTCAGCCAAAAAGTTGTAGCAGCACTTTATGAAAAAGCTAAAACTGATCGTCCTGGACCAGATTAAAGCCCTACCTCATAACAAATGATGACCGTTCAAGAAGAGGTATTATTTCATTATTATTATCAATTCACTTTTTTATTTAAAATTATAATCTTATTAACTCTTTTTTTTTTAACCTCTGTGTTTTATTTCCAATCTGGGACAGAGATAGCAGCTGAGTCTTCTTCCTCTTCAGGGAAATCCACCAGAGTTCACCTCCAGCTAAGAAGTCTGTGGCGTCTGCGTATTGTTCTAGTTCCGACTCTTATTGTATTTATTAAGATTTTTTATTATTGTTAGTATAGTTTATTGTAAAGAATGCCGTTTATTTAAAATATCATCCAAATGGGTTGCTTTTATTTATTTTTATACAAATGTATTGTTTACTTGTCATATTTTCAAAATAAACATTTTGTAAGTCTTTATTTTGGCCTTTTTAGTACCAAAAATTAACCGAACCGAGCCCTCCTTAAAACTGAACCGAACCGAAATGTGATTTAAGCGTACCGTTACACCCCTAGGTGTGCAGATTTCAGATGTATTGTAAAAAAAAAAAAATTGCAATCCTCATCATACAGCAGGCCTTTTAGACATAATTTGATGGACTTTCAGCCTCCCTTGTTAAAGAACCTGTTACTTTGCTCCTAAAATCAGTTTTTTTGTTTGTTTGTTTGTTTTGTTTTTGAATGATATGGACTGAATTAGAATC